TTCATAGCTACATCGAAACAGACCCTCCTCTCACAGTGTCGATGAAGAAACAAGTTAGCACAGCATCCCATTGCCCAGCTTGAGGCTCGCTTTCGTCGGTGTCATGGGCGCCGTATATCTCTTCGAAGTCGCCTAAAATATCACAGTCGAAACCCAGAAAATAGTGGCCAGACAGCGAGAGATTGCATACCAGCTACCAAGGAAAAGTCAGATCCAGGAGGCAAGTCAGATGGTAGGACGTCGGGAATTTTCACTGGTCGGAGAATCGCTTCTTTTGAGGGGATATTTGAGAACGAATGGATGTATGGATATATTGTGTGTTCCCCAATCAATTCCGTCCTATCCCATGATTAATGGGGTTGGCTACAGGCCATCTCGAGAACTTACTTGTTCAGGATGAGGTACGAGGAGAGTAACATGTAGTGCGAGAATTCATTTCCTTGACAAGCAAATCCTGAGATGAGCGATCAGTAACCCATGCCACACTTGCATGATAAAATGAGCCCAACCAAGTTTCGCGACGTCAAAAGCCAATCTACCTAGACCGGCCCCTGGGACAAGGACTCTGAGTGTTGCCCTGCAGAATCACAGTTAAGACCACAGGATGCAGCATTGAATAGATCAAATTCGCCTGTCTTGACCCTCGAAATGCTGCTCGAGTGCCTTTTTCATCGGCTCGTAACATAAATCGCGCTCTGCTTTACCCTAAACTTCACCGTCGATGGACAGAAATGAGAACAATCAATGGGTTACATACATCTTCACTCCAATCCCGAACGAACTGCTTTAATGTGCTTCGTAACTTGTCCATATCAAAGTCAGTGGGCTTATACTTCCCCCGAGCCTGCGGTCTTCCTGGCACAGAATTTTGGGTGTTATGGTCATGTGAGTGCGAATGACCATGATGGGAGTGGCTGTGTGAGTACGAGTCGTCGTCACCTGCAAATACTGTCCATGCAGACATCGGAGATGACCCTTGCAAGACATGTCATACCTCGGGACGTAGGGTCATATGAGTGTGAGTGTTGCTGTTCTTGCAAAGCATCTTTGTCGGGTCCAACATCATCGCCATTCTCTCCGGCGCTCAAGTCATGTCCAAATATTTCCGGATTTGCGACGATTTTGTTGAGGAAATCAGCGTTGGTTAGAATGGCTGTATCAACTTCCTGAAGCTTTTGCTTGTAACCTAGGGTATCCAGCAGCGCCTTGTCGGCTTGCGGAAGTGTGTATAGGTCCTTTCTGCGCCTGTTATTAGCAGCAAGCTGTTAGATGACACATGAAGCAGTCAGTTCACGTCGATGAAGTCCTCCACAACATGAGTACCGAGTATTGAGCATACTGTTGGAAGGCCGTCACGACATTTAGGAAGTGTACGTGTTCTTCTTCGATGTCTTTCTCGGAAAATTGATGAGACATTGCACGTACGAAGAAAATGCAAAACAAGAAGGTCTACCGTGACGAAGTGTGTGATCGAGTCGAGATCATTGGAATTTGAGACCAAGGTCACTAAACGACTCAATTGCCACCTGAGAGCCACGTGGGCTTGTTTATTTCTAAAGGCCTTGCCAAACAAACATCTTGTAACGCCAACGTGACCACTGAACCAACGTCCTACTTAATACTTCGAGTACTGCAAAAATGGTCAGTCTTTTCTGTTCTATCGAGGAGAAACCTGTCATACTGAGGCTATTTGGTAGGCTCGTAATGAAGAGAAGGCGCAATCAATGCTCTACCGCTTCCGCGAAGCCCAAGCCGCAGAGCTGGGTCTCGGTACTCGTGGAGACCGGAGACCAAAGATGGCGAGCGCGTGCAAGAGCTTACGCGAATGCGAGCGATGGAGAGGAGAGATTCTGCGAGAAATTAGCAGGAAGGTGTCGAAGATCCAAGACTGTATGTTCTCCTTCTCTCGCGTGTGTGATAATGAAAATGAACTGACAGCTTCGATGATTGTTTGCAGCTGGTCTGACGGATTATGAAGTACGAGATATTAATGACGAGATCAACAAGTTGCTGCGAGAGAAGAGACATTGGGAGAACCAAATTATCGCTCTCGGTCGGTGCTAATTACAGACGAAATGTCGCTATGTTGGATGATGACGGAAAGGAAGTACCAGGGACTAAAGGATACAAGTACGTTATTTTTTTCTTATTAACACACATCACTGCTAAAATGCTCGTCATGTTATAGATACTTTGGTCGCGCCAAAGACCTCCCTGGTGTCCGCGAACTCTTCCAAAGCCGGAAGAAGGAAGAGGAGGAAGAGACCCAGGCCCTGGCGTACTATAAAAAGTTTATGCACCAAGGTCCTGCATACTTTGGTGACCTTGACGAGAGTCAGGCCGGCGATGGGTTGTTGGACTATGAAAGGGAGTCAGAAGAGGCAGAGTGGCGGGAAGCACACCTACATATCCGCGAGATGCTTCACCTCCCCGCTGATGAACCTATCCCCGACGTGCCTCGCGGCGCAAGACCTCTATCCGATCCTCCGCATGTCGACGCCTCTTCGGGTACGAACAACGCGAAACGGAAAGCCTCATCTGACGCTGACACGGGCATCACCAACGCTGCTCCCGAACCTCCACTGGATAACGCAAAACGATCCAAGACTGACTCGGCACCATCAGACGCCACCCCTACCCCCTCACAACATTCGATGCAAGCCAATGCCGAGATGGCAGCCTTGTACATACCATTCCTGTCACCAAAAGACCTTCTTCCGCCAAAGTTGCCTACGAGAGATGAGATGGAAGGCGTACTACTAAGATTACAGAAACAGGCACTAGTGAACGAGTACTTCGGAGAAGCGTAACCCAGGGCTTAAACTTAGCCAGAACCTTATTTATACATCTGTCGTTTGTTGTATCGCTATGACTCTACTCAGGGGACGTGACGAATGTCTAATCTTTTGGCGCTTGCCTCTCGGAAGAAACCTCTGCATGCAACAAGGTCAGAAATACGAGGTACAACTACAACCTCAGCTCATCTCCGCCATAGCCATGGCATCAAGTCCTTGTGCTTGATCCCTTCGTGAACTTGACTTGGGACCTTTGATAACGAGATCCGCTTGTTGCCTTGAGGAGAAACAGCCCAGTCAGACACCCCACGCATGGAAAAAAACACAGCCCGACTTACAACCGCATTCGCAATACAAGTTTACGATTCGTGCTCTGAATATCAGACGCTGTCTTCATGGCATGAGCAAACAGTTCTGCCCGATGATCCGTCTTCTTTGCTTTCAAAATCTGTAGCACACACAAGAATGAGCTGAATCAAGTAAGCCTACATGATGCCCTTACCTTGTTCTGGCTATCCACCCGTCCCTGAATGTGTCCACTCTGAATTAGCACGACTACCTCTCTTTCAACCTCCTCAACAGTCCACCCAAACGCCGTAGCCATACGTTCGAGACGGATTGTCTCGAATGGTTGGAAGTAGAGCACGACAGCCGTGTTCCGGATGTGCCGGGCGATATCGTTCACGTGCACGGCAAGGTGTATGTCAACGTAGTGTCGCGTCTGTCGCGAGTATTCGTGACATGTCAGCAGGGCAGGTGAGCAGAGAAAAAGGAATATGAGGCAATCGCACCGAATACCTCGAGAGGATTTCAAGGGTTGTTTTGAAGTCACTCGACATGTACGCTTGTATGAGATCGCGTATGTAGGGTTCCTGTTCAATGTAAACAGAAAAAACGGAGTTGCCTAGGAGCTGGGTCTTGATGGCCGAGCGCGATAAGCTAGCAAGGGCACAGAGTGTGCCATAGATTGCGATATCGCCTGGGGAAACAAGCTGCTACGACATACCTGAGTCAGGCCCCAGCGGCAGCATGATCAATGGTTCATTCTCACCTTGCCAATCCAATCTCCGAGTTGGTCCGCAGGTCCGAGTCTCAAGAACGCAGATGCAGCTTTCTCGTAATTATCTTGGCCAAGGTGTGACAGAGCCATAGCAAAGTCAAGCTTCGACAGGAACTGATCGCGTTCAGGGGTAGGTTTCTTAGTTGCAGATTGCGCAGGAGCAGTGGTATTGCTGCCAGCAGTGCCTGCGGTTGCTGCTGCTATGGTTTCTAGTGCACCTTCCGCTTTGTAGATATAGGATGATATGTGTGCATAGTTACGCTGCTCGATGACAAGCTGCATGGCAATAAATTGAGCTCGAACGACCTGGATTGTGGGATGAATACCACAACGTACCTCTAGAACTGAGAAACACATATCAAGAACAGTGTTGACCTGTCGAGCAAAATTCACGAGATTTGGTGTAGTGCTTCAATGCCGAAGCATAATCTCCTGTGGCGCGATGGTAAGTCTCCAAGATCTCTATGACCCATCTATCCACACGTCCTTGAATATCGGTGGCGCAGTAATTGGAATGTATTAACTCACCCGTATGCTCTCCTTAATCATATTAGTTTGTATAAGTCTTGAGTTCTACCTCCAGTTTGGTACGCTCTGCCATATTCTTCTTCGTGACCTCATCGATCCACTGCGTATCCACAATTACCACGTCGCCCACTGGTGGCAGACCTTGTCCCTCTGGAAGTGATGCGGCGGTTTCATATCCCGATATCGCAACCTGGAGCAGCGAAGGATCGCGAAGACGGTACAGGTGCGTAAACGCGAGCTTCAGAGCCTGCTGGCGCGATGGAAGGACACGATGCAGTAATGTTTATCAATCTATCCACGGCGGTACGGCCTATGCACAGATCGGTCCTGATTTCTTCTTGTAGAACTATGGGAGGACAAAGGGTGCTCACCAGTGTAGCTGGAGATGTACGCGTCTAGATCGAAGGGATGGGCATCGTCAACGGGGCGCGCGGGATGTCGTCTGGGCTGTTGAGTTAGAAGCTGGTTGGAAATTTCGGATTCGATGGGGTCTATTTCCATGCTTGCGCGAGAGGGAAACAACCTACAGCTAATAACTTACGGAAGTGTCAGAGTCACTTGCCTATGAGACGTGAGCGAAGTCGCTGATGTGTACAGCAACCAGGGCAACCCTCATCGGGCTCTTGGCACAGTTGGTAGCGCGCACGCTTCGCACTGCAGATTGCGTGAGGTCGTGGGTTCAACTCCCACAGTGTCCATCGTCTTTTTCTTATTGCTCTGATAAAAACCTTATAATTATCTAAGACCGTGCAAGATTATTAAATATTACTGTAAGTACATCGTCGTTTCCATTTCTCAAGATATGATTTAGCAGGCTCTTCGAATTCCAAGTTCCAGGTGCTGTTCAACAACCAGTGGCTGAAGCCCTTCAATGCCATCAATCAACGGCTTGATGAGATTGACCAGCATCTCGGCTGCATTCATCGACGTGTCAGCAAGTTGACCTACATATCCTGTCAGGTCAGTGTCATAGCCTCAGGCACTGAGAACAATCACAAAGTCGTACAATGCCCACAAGGTCTATTACCACAACCTGCCCCTCTTGGCAATGCCGCTAGCTTTTGAACCCTTCTCCCAGCTCAGTTGGATTGGTTATTTGGCATGATATAACATCCAACTCCCTGGCAGGTCGACACAAGAGAGCAAGGTCAGACGTTTCATATCGGCTGCAGTTGACTGAAACTTTCTTCCTGTTCTTGTGGATTTGTCATCTTCGAGAATAGCTGAGCTCAGGGGCTCATCAACTACGCCTATGTTGGTGATCTTTTGACGCTGATTGACTGTTGTTTCACATCATATTCTCAAGAGAGAGATCACAACCTGCCCTCGCGAATCGTGATGCGTGAGTAGTCTGAAGTCAATGGTCGAATGAAGCCCAAGACGAGATTCGCGCTGAAATATCGAATTGTACATGCAAGTTAATGCAACTAGGGGAAATTTTACAAAGGTACCGTATCAGTGCAAAAAACCGTGTTCTGTTGGAGCATCTCCGTTTCCATACTTATGTCGAATACTCTGTTATGTTATCGGCCCTTGTGGAGCATCATGTCTGCGCACTTCTCAGCAAACACGACGACCGGTGCTTGAAGATGAGCCGCTGGTACTTCGGGGAATGCAGATGCATCGGCAACGCGGAGATTGCGAGTTCCGCGAACGATGAGGTCATGTCCTAACACGGAACCCATCGCACACGTCGAAGTATAGTGGTATGTTGTGCATCCCTGCTCTGAAATGTGCTTATCGAGCGTTGCATCGTCAACGTCACCCGGTGGGGCCTCTACTCTCTCTAGCTCGTAGCCTTGCGAGCTGAGGCACTCGGAAATACGCGTGGTAAGTCGGACTGCATGACGGATTCGAGCACGGTCGGCGGGCGCCGCGAGGTAGTTCAAATCGACGCGGGGATCTGCGCGTGGATCCGTACTTGCGAGACGCACGGTCCCTTTGCTTTCCGGATTTAGCAAGATGGCAAGGAGGGTAAAGCCGCCGCGAGTCTGTTCTTTTTGGTCTACACTCTTTGCGTATGCCACTGGCATGATCTCGATATCGGGGATCACGTCCTGTCCAGGATTCTCCTCGTTCACCGGGATACCACGGTTGTCCAGTAAAGCCGTACATGCGAATATTGCGATCTGGACCACGGGACAGAGGAGCACGCCAGTGCCAAAGAGCAGGTAACGCAAAAACTCCATGATGAAATACAGTGGTTGGCGAGAGGCACGGAGGATGGAATCGTGCAACGGCACAAAGTACTGGAGGAAGACTCCGAAGTGGTCTTGCTGGGACAAGATATTAGCACGTGATGAAGAAAGCGCCTCGACTACGAACAAGGTTTTCTCCGACGGGAAGGTCCTTTAGCACGGCGATGCCCATGTCATGGAGATGTTTTGCTGGTCCTATCCCACTACAATGACATGAGCCATCAACGCGTCGCGAGGACATTTCCGAATGGTGCATACCTCAGCATAAGAATCTGCGGCGATCCAAAAGTGCCCGCGCTCAACACCACTTCACGGCACACACGGACGTGGACGGGGCTCTGGTGAGCGCCCTTGGCGTCCGTGGCGATAATTGACACTGATCGAGCGATAAGGTGGTCTTTCTCCTCGTCAAATTCTATGCGATCGGCGATGACGTTCGGGCACACGTGGAGATTACTTCTGCGTCCTTGCAGCAGCCCCGGTGGGAGGAACGCTCGCATAGTAGAATGGCGATGCCCATTCGCGTCGCGAGTAATTGGCAGACGAGCCCAACCCACGGGAACGTACGCCGGGTCGTTTATATCCGGAATGTGTGGCAGGCCTAGAGTTCGACAAGCATCGACACAGCTGAATATAAATGTAAGTAAGAATGGTGAAACCCCGAAGGAGAACCGGGTTTACTGTTGAAAGCTAGAGTAAAAGAAACCCTTGTTCTCTCGATTGATCCATTCCCCTGGAACAATATAACGTCACTTGGAACAGAGGAAGTAGCTCATGCGCAAACCTTGAGTTCCATGAGCCTCAGAATGGGTATCATATTCTGCATTTTCGGATTTGATAAAGTATGGAAGCAAGCTCTTGGAGTCCCAACCCTTCGCGCCATTTCGCTCCCAGGCATCATACTGAGCGGCTGGCCACGAGTGTACAACAGGTGGTTGATACGAGTAGTTCCACCTAGACCAGAGCCTTGGTATATATCATAAGGTCGATCACCGACAGCTTGAACGGTAGACTGCATGTGGCGGGAATATGGATTTCCTTGAGCAAAGTTGGCCGAGAACAACGGTACGCGAGAAAGCCAAGAATCGCCCACATGACCGCGCTCGAGCAGCAAAACACGGTTTTCTGGGTTTGCACTTAGACGGTTTGCAAGAACACAACCTGCTGTCCCACCACCTGCGCAAATTGTAAGGTCAAACGCATACCAACGTGTACGATTCAAAATAACTCTGAAACTCACCAACTATGACATAGTCATATTCATCGTGAAGCTCGTGAAGTCCAACAGTTGCATACGATGTGGAAAATGGCCACATGACCTGCAGGATCAGCCCGAAGACGAGAATATAATCGTCTCAGCCTCGTACAGTAGAATGTGAGCTACTCTCACTACAGATTTCTGGGGATTTAAAATAGGTTTTAATGGCGAGCACAATATAAAGACACTACTTAAAGTATAGTTTATCATATAGAGAACGGCCCAATTTCAAGTTAAAATGAACCTTAGAATGTTGGCAGAAACTTCAAATATACACAAACATGCTTTTGCGGGAGAAATGTTAAATTCAATTTGAAGTGAAAACCACGCCAAATGAGGGGGTCAATTTCAAGTATGGAATTATGTGTCAGCGGTGGCAATACTTCAAGTTTTGCTCATTCCCACACATTGGTCAGCAGCTAAAATATAGGGGGGAATTAAAAACTTGTTCTGAACTCAAAGTTTAGATTAATTTTTATATGTGTACCTCCACTTTACATGCTATATTGCACAGAGACATCACCCACTGAATATTGTTGCATATAGCCTGTAAAGTGGAGGCACTCATATAAAGATTAATCTAAACTTCGAGTTCAGAACAAGTTTTTAATTCCCCCCTATATTTTAGCTGCTGACCAATGTGTGGGAACGAGCAAAACTTGAAGTATTGCCACCGCTGACACATAATTCCATACTTGAAATTGACCCCCTCATTTGGGCGTGGTTTTCACTTCAAATTGAATTTAACATTTCTCCCGCAAAAGCATGTTTGTGTATATTTGAAGTTTCTGCCAACATTCTAAGGTTCATTTTAACTTGAAATTGGGCCGTTCTCTATATGATAAACTATACTTTAAGTAGTGTCTTTACATTGTGCTCGCCATTAAAACCTGTTTTAAATCCCCAGAAATCTGTAGTGTCTTTGCTGATTGGTGCTATGTACTGTTGTCTCATTCATCTGAGGACCTGAGCTTGAAAAAAAAAGGTACCAAAGCCACTGTATCCCAGCTGGTTACCTCCGTGTGGCGAATTGGATTCAGATACGTGGCATCCCGGAACATAGAAGGCATCATACTGTAATCTCGTTATCTACGTGCATACGAGAGGAACTTGAAGAATCCCTAGCAAAGTTTGGTGTGTCGGGATTGAGTCACACGTAATCCTTCAACCACCATGGTACCAGAGATCGTTTGTTGTCAGAGAATGAGGAGAACCGTGGAGAACATAAGATAACGTGTCAGTTTTACTATGCAAGATGCATAAGTTTTGACGGACCTGGCCTATGAAGGGCGGGAGCGGACAAAACTAGATTGCTTTCGCACCACGCTTTCGGGCTTACTTCTGCATAATGATATCGCCTTCACTTTTGAAAATTCAGGTTTGACTTTCGTTTCAGGTAATACTATTGCTTTCACTTTCAAGGTTTCAGATTTGATTTTAGTATGAAGGGCGGGAGCGGACATAACTAGATTGCTTTCGCACCACGCTTTCAGGCTTACTTCTGCATAATGATATCGCCTTCACTTTTGAAAATTCAGGTATGACTTTCGTTTCAGGTAATACTATTGCTTTCACTTTCAAGGTTTCAGATTTGATTTTAGCTTTGACTTTCGCCCATGTGCCGACTTTCGAACGATATTCACCATATGGCATTTCATACCACTGTTTTGGATAATCGATATCGCTTTCACCACAGTTTTCACTAGTCATCATGTGCAGTGCTATCACTGGGCCACCTTAGCTCGGCCTTAGCTCTTCAAAAGGGCTCTTTGGAGGAAAATGCACATGGGCACGCACGGGCCACGCATGAGTGAAAAAAAACCGTTCGCAGCAATGTTCTCCCTTAATTACACTCTACACTGACCTCCCTCACTGAGCAAACCCTCTCGTGCATAATGACCCCGTCATCGTCGCATTGTCACAGGTGCGCTTGTACCGGTTATCTAGATATGGGGGTAAGTGGCCTCGTGTATATCGAAGAGAATAGGAGGTGCGAGGGACTACCTCTTCGATACAGCAACGCAGTTGGTGAGAGAGTCTCACCTTACCAGTTCCTGATGACTAGAACAAGAGTGTTGAGAACTAGACTTAATAGTGCTAGTAGACTTGTTGAGTAAATGTGTTAGATACTTGTGTATCTTGCAACCTAAAGTACATGGTACTAAAGTACAGTATTTATACTGTCAAGGTCTGCGCACAGACCAAGCTAGGTATAGTAAGTGTTATCTATACGTGCTATCTA